ATCCACAGTACATACATAATTGCTAACGCACTTGACAATAAAGATGTAATTGTAAGCGAGAGATTTTAGTATCGCGTATCTAATTGATAGCAAGCGAAGATTTGTGAAAGATTAGAGTCTATTCAAACAACACAATGCAGGGGGTCGTAGTTGCCGCCAACGTTGTTGGGAGAGGGCGAAGGAAACACGTCCGGGTGCATAGGAAGACACAAACACACACTCGCCTAGCTATCGCAACAAAGCCGCATCGACTTCTTGACAGGATTATAAAACCCAGTGTGAAGGATCAAATCATCAAGGTCGTGCCCCCAGATGCCATACTGCGAGAGAAGTCAAAATAATCCAAGACTCCCAAGCTCGGATGCAAATTTACTGACCTTCCCACTCGAGTAACCTCTGTTGTATGACTTCTCACCCATCCTCGGAGCCAACCCGTCTTTGTCAAGGCTCTCCCTCATCGTCTTCGCTTCTGCTCCATAGACCCTTTGGTCTAGCTTCGAGGCCCCCACACCCAATTACATGCGCGTGAATCCTTTCTGGGGGTCTTTCGGACGGAGAAGGAACCTCGTAGGACGGGTTAGATATTGGGCGATATGGACCCATATTTTGTCGATCGGGCCTGGGATTAGGATTTCAGACCGTTCGTCTTCCTGTCAACCAAAATCATACAAGTTAGGACTCCCACATTTATTGAATATATAAATGATAATAAGACGACTGACAGTATATTGGTCATACTGTGCCAGTGGTATTGGGTTTGCCATCCAGATGCGGCCAAGATCGAGTTTCAGAGTGCCATCCAGAGTCATGATCGCCGGCGAAAGAGGGCCCCGCCCATCTTCGTATTCGGTTTCAAGATCCTCGGCCTTGGAGGAATATGCTCGAGATTGCTTCACCTTGCCGTCGCACAGCGGGAATGTCGTTTGGGGTTGTTGGTGGCACAGTACATATATCGCCGACCTACTATCAATGGTACGTCCACAGGATGCAATTTGCGCGCTCGGTAAGCTAAATAACCTCCTGTTTGTTTGGTAACGCGGGCGGAAGGCCAGAGGCCGCAGCTGACGAATTAGCATGTTGGTTGGGTGGTCGATGTCAACTTTGATATTTGGAGTGGCAGGTCACTACGATTCGTCGTGGGAAAATATTACGTACTATCGCTGATATCTGGGATTCTCCTCATGCCTGGCTGTCACAAAGTCAGTTTGAGTCACGGTGATTCGCTGCTCACAACTAAATCTCTCACCCAGAAAAAATGATTAAGAAGAAGATAAGTAGCGAGAGTCTCCGGCTTAGCGGGCTCGGTGGCGGCAGCACAAGAATATATATTAGCTGATGCAGGGTACGAACATGATACGGGGTAGCCCGATGGGTAAATGTAAAACATCGGGTATGTGCGGCAGAGTCAATTGAGAGCATGAAATAATTTGAGAAGCAAACCAAGGAAACCGGATAACAAGGGAAACTATCATTACAGACCACCAAAGAGAAGATGTGTGGGTGTATCAAGTCGTAATAAAAAAAATCAGAACAAAATCAGAGCAAAGAAATAGGAAGGATAAGAGTACGTATTAGAAGCCTGAGGGCCGCTCCCAGTCTTGGCAAAATCGTATATCGATGTCATGTTTAGCGTACCATGAATAATCATATACAGCCGACCAGGCTGGAAATGTAATGCATCGCAATGGAAGACCGACTGCTTTCCTCGACTGAACAAACGCACGAAGGCTGCTCTCGAATTCTTCCTTGCCAGGGTCATCTTGAGATGCAACGACACACACGTGTGTCAAGTGCGGCCACAGGGTATACGATTCATCTTCCCCGACTTCCGCCTCCTCCAGGAACTCGAGCAGTGAAACGCCGTCCGACTCGTCACCGAACGATATGGAGAGGCGTTCAACGTCTGGAAAAAGATCGCTGAGTGCGTCTATGTTCCATACGTCGACTTTCGTGTCGTAGAGGGCGATGGACTTTACGCGTAGATGTGAAGGATGAAGTTCCCGAGTGATATGCGTGGACGTGATGATGGCGTCGAGGTCGTAGTCGTGGCAGAACTTGAGCGTGAGGTGGTCGAGATTCGGAAGGATGAGTGACGAAAAAAGGTATTCACAATAGTCATCGGCTTCGAGGATAGCGCTCGGAATGATGACTTTGAGCGATAGAAGACTGGGAAGAGTCACAGGGCGGGAGCGCCCGGTGGGACTCCCTAGTGGCAATTCGGACAAAGTGAGGTGTGTCAAGGACGATGCCCTGCTGATAGCACCGAGGGTACGAGAGTAGTCTCCAACCCCAATCACTATGTTCTCAGACCTCCAGCTATCCAACGACAGGCGAGTGGCCGCGCCGAGTGGTGGCAGGCAATGGGGTAAGCTGATGCCACGGATCTTGACATTCGTCAACGCCGGTGCGCCTCCGCCGAAAATACGGCCAGGGACGTTCGAGTATCCCTCGGCTGAGTACACCATGTTATACTTTATCTCTATGATAAGACTCTTGAGCTGAGGCGCGGATAGGTTTTGGAAATGTTCCAAGGTCTTGACTGTATCATCAACGTCAGCATGGGAAGCCAGAACAGAAAGAGATCGGCATCTGTCGAAATGGTTGAGCCAGGGTTCCTGTGGGATGATGTCCTGCATACCCAGATGCATTATAATGTCGATGGGGCACTGTTGCGACCTCTCGAGAAAGAGCGATGCTATCTCATTGTGCTCCCGGGATAGCACGATCCGATTCCATAGCGTATGAGACTGGAGAGCTACGTTCCTCCAATGTCGGCTGACATGCGAGACAAGTAAGGGGAAGGGAACACGTTGGCGTCCTCTTTCTTTGTAGCCATATTTTGACAGGTAGACATGCGCATATTGGGAATCATCGATCTTGCCCTCCTCGAAGATCAGGCTCATGAGAACGTCGGGAAGTCTATCAACACCAGAGCTGGGGACAAGGTCACCCGCTCGCATGGGCTCTGCTGGTGATAACGGACTGCCACCAGACACATGATCGGATGAGTGGGATTTTTCCACTTCGAGTCCTTGGCGTGTGCCCATCTGAATAGTGATAGTGTTGTATAGCTCTGTGGATGACCAGTCAATCGTACACATGGAGACAAGTTTTGCTGGCTTCACACGTACGTTCAATTCGGCTCAGCATCACTGGGACGAGCCGCACCCGGAGGATAAGCTACTGCCACGTCGCCTCTGAGTCAGAAACGTTGCTTTGGACTTAAGTGGAGGATTTCGCTGTTCAGATCCGTGTCGATCAGTATCTAGCGATGTGAGCATGTAGAGCGTCACTCACGAAGAAATAGGATCTTGGAATAGTTTCGACCTGTTTGATAGCCTCAGCTATAGGCTTTAGTGTGTGTGAAGGCTTTATACATACAGTTTAGCGCTCGTCGGCTCCCGCCATAGCCCGCCATATATATATGCTCGGTGTGAAAATCTGCCTCGATATATTCAGCCTCGATCAGCTGCATGGCTTCCAACCTTGTGACGAACCCATATCATGCAATCTCTGCTTCTGTCTTTATCAGCACAGCGATATGCCTTTCCCGCGGAGTCCAAGGCCATTACCCTATCGAGTAGACTGGTAGTATAAATATGGAGTCAAGAGGTAGATCTCGCCAACACTCTATTCCTTTGGCCAACAACATCTTCAGATGGCCCTTCCCAAAGTCATGAGAGCAGTCATCTGTCCATCTGTCCTTATCCCTCCCTCCGGTCTCGAGTACACAACTGAACACCCAGCCCCCACCCCGAAAGCAGGACATGTTTTGATTCGCATCAGGGCATTTGGTCTCAATCGCTCGGAGCTGTTCACTCGGCAGGGAATGTCTCCAGGGCTTGAATTCCCCAGGGTCCTCGGCATTGAATGCGTCGGTGAGGTCAAAGACGCTGGAGGAGGAGAACTCTGGAAAGAGGGAGACATCGTTGCTGCAGCTATGGGAGGGCTCGGTCGCAAGTTCGACGGTACGTGACGCAGCTCCAGTTTGACACCATTGCTGACGGAGAGTACCAGGCGGGTATGCGGAATATACTCTTGCGCCGCACAGATCTGTTTCGCTTCCCATTACCCTTCCCAAGAGTATCGGATGGGCCGAGTTTGCCGCTATCCCAGAAACCTTTATGACAGGTTAGTTATTTTGCCATTCCAACCACCTGTTTTATTAACAGATTCGTACAGCTTGGGGGACCTTGCGCCAATCCCTTAACCTCACTTCCGACGACACTCTACTCATTCGAGGAGGAACTACTAGCGTAGGCTTGGCAATGGCCACCCTCGCAAAAACACTTTTTGCGGTCCACAAGGTCATCGCGACCACCCGTTCCAGTGCCAAAATTGGCGTGCTCACGGAGGCTGGAGTGGACCACGCCGTAATCGACACGGGAAGCATCAGCGAGGAGGTTATGAAACTTACCGATGGGAAAGGCGTTACGAAATGTGTTGAGCTCGTTGGAGCCACTACGCTGGCTGACTCGTGCGCCTGCTTGACCCCTGATGGTCTCATCAGCGTCGTTGGTGGTGTCAGTGGGGAATTCGTGGTAAAGGAGTTTGATCCTATGGGCAGTCTCGCTCCGTCCAAGGTCAGTGTGATGCTTCCTCGTCCTACTACTGAACCACAACTAACTGATTTGACGTACGCCAGCATATGACCATGTACGGGTCGGAAGCACTTGAGATCGCAAAAGGTCCATTGCAAAAGATCATCGACGCCATCGCGAATGGGGAGATCAAGCTTGGACTCGACAAGGTGTTCAAGATGGAGGAGGCGGGAGAAGCTCATGCATTTATGGAAGCTAACAAGGCAAAAGGCAAGGTGGTTTGTGTGGTCGATTAAAAGATATGCTGCACACAATCTGTACCTATATTTCTGTATCAAAATTAAAATTTCTTGTCATTCCTCGTTTCTGTGGCTCATTCTGCAACGTCGTCGTTATGTAACATGGCATGGTACATACATACAACTTGTCGACTGAGGACCTACGAAGATTGAGCAAAAACGACCAGCCCGGGACTTGAACCCGGAACCTCTAGCTAACCATCCTCGGAGACTAACGTGATAACCATTACACTAACCGGCCAGCTAAAAGTAACCGAGGAAGGTCAGCTACAATAGCCACGATCCACCAACCGACGTCACCAACGTATTCAAGCGTCCGCCAATAACGAGCGACCATCAATCAGCCTTGACCTTTACCCTCTGACTCTGACTCTGACTCTCGCAACCCTCTCTGATTCAGCCTGGCCTGATTATATTCTACTTCTCAGCGCTCAACTGGACTGCAACTCCTATTTCCTGGCACGGAGCTCTCACACAAGGCCATTAATAAAGCGCTTCAGGTGAAAAATAAACCTAAGAGTCGGCTAAAGCTGTGGCTTCAACGTCAGCCAGTACTAAGCTATTTCCTGCGATGCCTCGAGATATCACTGCCCCTCGGCGTACCTCTCGTAAACTTACCAAAGAGGAAGAGCTAGAGCTCAAACGGGCCCGCGGAGAGCTTTCTTGCGCCGAATGCAAGAGGCTTAAACTGAAATGCGACAAGGTCAGGCAGTTTTCCTTGCATTTCAACATATCTTACAGTGCTGAATACACTTTAGAAAATCCCCTGTAGCTCATGTGTGCGTCGGGGATGTACAACCGTATGCCCATATGGTAGCGTGATAAACGACCAAGGCTCAAGGTCTGCTCAGTCTCGCTTTGCAAATACTGGTGGCTGCCTTAAGCTAATATGCCTATCTTAGATTCATTCTCACAGAGACAGAAGAGCTGCACCGAAAGATATCCGAAATGAGCCGGCGCATTCGGCAGCTGGAGGACGCGCTGGAACTTCTACAATCTAGAATATCCGCAGAGAAACACCCTCTTCTGCGAGATGAACTGCTTCCGATTAAATACGGAGTGAAACAGCCTGAGCTGCCATCCGCCCCGTCCACCGAGTCCCCCGAAGATCCGCTTGCTGTACCCGTGGACGCCTTTGGGACTCTGACGATTGGCGACGGTGGGGAGCTTAGGTATTTCGGGGCATCCGCCGGATCAGAGGTCTGTTTTCCGTCTATCGGTCATCTTCAGTTTTAATTACTCTGACATTCAACGCTATTCCTTATTACAACTCACAATAACCAGACCCTGTTTTCGGTGCGTGGCATGTCCAGATTAATGTTCTCAATATCCACCGCTAACCGCTAACCATGCATCTTTGTTGCATAATATTTCAGGCCGAATCCAAGCCAAAAAACCAGGATCACACTCCGCTCAAGCAATTTTTGGCTATCCCCCAGCTCCTAAACAGCCTAGCAGCAATGTCTCCCGTGAGCACCGGGCTCCTGACCGCGCCGGAGACATTTGACAACGCGATGAGCATGCTGTTTGCGTGTCTGCCGGCCAGACCGCGCGCGTGGAGTCTGTGTGAGACGTTTGTGGAGCAGGCGTCTTGGGTGTTTCGGCCATTGCAAAGGGAGGAAATGATTGAAGATATATTGACGCCTATATATGAGGCTAAGCAAGAGCGAGAAAATCCACTGCAACGGGCAGTCAAGTCAACCACAACCCCGGTGTCACCCCACAGAATCTCCGTTCTGTACTCGATCTTGGCTCTGGGCGGTCTCTCGGATATGACGCTGCCGGCATTCAACGAGGAGGGAGAGCGATACCACCATTGCGCTCGCGCTGCCTTGGCGCTTCGATCTATCTTTGACTCTCCGATGGTTGAAACCGTTCAAGCCATCTTGTTTCTTGCCTTCTACTGTGGTAATTTTGCACCGCGATATAAGCGAGACAGTGTTTGGATGTTGGTGTCTTTAGCATCCAAGGTCGCGCAAAGTGTAAGTGAATGCAATAGATACTCTGAAAGTTTGTTCGCTTATACTACAACTAGATTGGAATGCGTACGGGGATTGCTTCTTCCAACACCCCAATATTGATTATTTGTAGATCGTGACCCGGCGCGATGGAATATGGATGCCACGACGGCAGAACGACGGAGAATTCTGTTCTGGGAGCTTTACCAGGCGGATATGTTCCATGTATATCCAACACTGTGCTTTAAATATGCTGGCTTTACTCATCACTCAGCAGAGTCTGGAACTTGGTCGACCGCCTTCGATAGCACTGTCTTATGTGGATTGTGCCCTTCCACTGGCTCGAAGTGCCTCTGAAGAAGACGATCAATGTATGTTTGGACTTCGTGGCGATCATTTTATTTTACTGATGGCTAAAGCAGTTTGGAACTGGAAATATCAGTTCAACAGAAACATCTCTCAGCCTCTCATTGAACTGACTCTCAGCGCCAAGCCACCCAATTATAAAGCTGTTTTAGATATCGACCGCAAGGTCCGTGAAGCGCCGATGCCGCCAGCCTTGAGTTCCTTCTTAGCCAAAGATTACGATTGCGCTGGTGTTGGTCTCAGCCTGTACATGAAAGGCGCTTTCCTTACAAATGTCCGCTCTGTCGCTATCCTGTACATTCACAGAAACTTCTTCGCTCGAGCCCTGCTCGACCATTCTGCCAACCCGCTTCACAGCCCTTATGCTACCTCTTTCTTAGCGGCTGCTAGATGCGCATCGTCTATCATTAGGACTAATTTCATCCATATCGGCAGATTTCCCGAATTTTGTACGAGGTATGGTACATGATACTTGTGCGTGGTACATATTGGCTTATATTATTTCCATTAGATGGTGGAATCTATGGATTCATCTGTTCTCTGCTGCAGTGAGTATTGTCTAGTGCCGCGTTAAACCTGCATTGCTGATGAGGTATTTGGAAAGATGATGGTGGGGTCGATTGTCACGAGAGCGCCGTCTAGTATGCTGGCCCCCGCTGCGTTCGAAGAGCTTGGTCTTGCGGTTCAATTATTCGAGAATGGTTCCAAGCTCTCACCACGTATAAGGACTGGGATGGTATGCCCACTAGAATTTGATGCACCGCAAGATGGATACTGATGACCGCCATTCAGAAAATCCTTCACAGGCTCCAAGAGAGAGCCTCTGTATTGTTCGCTCGATATGGTCACGGTGCTGAATCTCCTGCTGCGACTTCGACAGCCCACGGTGAAGGCCACGATGCAGACGCATTTGCCACTCACGGGAGTATTCTCAGCTCGCAAAGATCTGCTGTGGGGAAGGACCACCCTAACTCAGTGTCACCTCAAACAACGCCATTCCCGGTTGCCGCGTCATCTTGCAGCGCCGACCCATTGGATGAGACTGCTTTGCAGTTCTCTCCTGGTCAAGAACTGCCCAATGTTCACCCATCACTCATGGAGGACATGTTCATCCACCCCCAAGGTGGTGACGCGACCGGATCCACTTCCCATCCACATTTGGATAACTTTTCAGAATTTTTTGATGAGCCAGACGCAACAAGAGTTTTCCAGCCATCCCATTCGATATTTCAGGTGCCTGAGTTCTCGGCCCACGCAGGATTACCCCTAGAGCAAGATCATTCTCAGGCCGACCTCTTAAATAACTCTGACGCCTCATCAGGCTCATTTCAACAACTTTTCGCAGAGACCCTTTCAACAGATGCACAGGGGATGGATGATATCAGCGCTGGCGAGCTAGGTACTGCAGCGAATGGTGGCAATACTATTGACGATGATTGGATGGTGTTCATGAAGGAGAGTGGTCTTGTTTGATTGCTTTATGATAGTATAGGGCAGCTACCCAGGCAGAATACCCATCAATTATCAGATTATGAGAGAGAAATACATGGACTAGGTAGCTAACCCGCGCTCGGCCGACTCCTTCAGGGAATGGTGGACAAGTTCTTCTTGATGCCCTAACCACATACCAAAAGCAGGCGTCCTCAGCCACCGCTCATAAAATTCCTTTTGCTTGCTCGCGCTCTTGAAAGGCAGCAGCGCACCATGCGCTTTCAGCGATGCGAAGAAGTCTGTGGTGCTGAACGTTTTCAGCCGTAGCAGGGTTTTGTTTACTTCGGTGCTAGAGGCGTGCGCGGATTGTTGCGCCACGGTTGGTATCAGTGTGTTGAGGTATCTGTTAAGAGGTACGAGGAAAGTTGCTGTGCGGGAGCAAAAGTGCCTTCGCAGGTTCAAAGAAGCTTCCGTTTCTGCGCTGCACGGTAAGCGGCGACTAGGTAAAATGTACAGAACTCTGCGTACTGAGTGCGTCGGACCCACGCACTGCGTCTTCGAGACTCTTGAGAAGGGCTCTGTCTTTCGATATGTACCGCTTATGGCTCTTGGTTTTCCAGCCGGGTGCAGGTCCGGCGATGATTGTGGGCGCTGAGCTGTTGTTGCTATGCTTCACTCTGGAAACCTTCTATAAGAATAGCAATTGATTGTGTATCGTATACTGACCTTCGCCCGAGACTGAGGACATGTGGCCAGTGAGCACACGATTTCTCAAAGAACGGATTTGTGACTCCTAGTAATGTTCCAGATTTTGGGGGAAGTTTGTTGACTATGGAGGAATGGTCCATGTCTTGTATTGTGAAGTACGGCCTTATATCACACGCCAAAGGTATCTTCAAGTGACCCATTAGTCTGAGCAGCAGCGTCAGCACAGCTTTACTTACCGGTCGCAAAAGGTCACGGAACCACCAGATAGCCTGGCTAGTGGCCGCCGGAGATTGTCCAAATACCAGTATCGGCTCACATAGTATTGTGCATTCCCATATCGACCATAGATTCGGTAGACATGCCTCGAAGAGCAACAACGGCGGAGGTGTTAAGGGCGCTGTGGAGGCAAGTATCTTACCACGTCATGTAAGCCAAGAATTCAAACAATGTACATTCAAGTGCACCTACATGCAGTTTTGGATCGAACTTCTCTTGGAAAGAAATGGTCCCTGGAGATTGCTGGTCATTCGCAGTATGGGGAATTTCGACATGCAGCACGGAGCCAGGCTCCTAAAACCATCCACTCGTAGAAAGTTTGAGGGCGGATTACTGAACGAGAGCACAAGTAAATATTTCATTTCAGCCACAATGTAAACAAATCCAAACAACTTCCCATTATATCCACAGCAACCCACAAAACTTTCTACTGAGCGGCTGGCAAAAGATGTGCGGCGGAACCTCGGATCATCTCATAGCCCTAGCCTAGGGTTACAGAACG